AGTGTTGGAACTTGCCATGTGGAACCGGCTTCGTGAACATATCAGCAGGATTATCCGCGGTGCCAACCTTCTTCACTTTAATCCTCTTCTCTGTCCTCAAGAAATGATACCTCACATCGATGTGCTTAGTCCTCTCATGGTGGACGTGATCCTTGGCCAAGCATATTGCACACAAACTGTCGCAATACACCACTGCCTGATCATGATGTAGACCCAGATCACCAACCAGTCCCTTCAACCATATTCCCTCCTTAGCAGCTTCTGTCAATGCCATATAGTCTGCCTCAGTAGTAGACAACGTCACCGCCGACTGCAAAGTTGCCTTCCAGCTCACTAGAGAACTCCCAAGAGTGAATACATAACCGGTCATCGATCTCCTCGTGTCAACATCTCCAGCATAGTCCGAGTCGGAATACCCAGACACCAAGCACTCCGTATCACTTCCGAAGCTAATCCCCACATCAGGTGTACCCTTAAGGTACCGAAAGATCCTCTTCACAGCCTGCCAATGCTCCTTCCCAGGTTGTATCATAAACCTGCTGACAACACTAACAACATGTGCAAGATCAAGTCTAGTGCATACCATAGCGTAACTCAAGCTACCTACTGCACTAGCATATGGGACTCTCGACATGTACTCCTTCTCAGCCTCCGACTGTGGTGCATAAGCTGAGGATAGATGAACATTTGAAGCACTAGGAGTATTTAAGGGCTTTGCTGAAGACATGCCAAACCTCGACAGTATCTTCTGGATGTAGCTCTTCTGTGACAAGAAAAGCTTCTTCTTCGACCTGTCCCTGTAAATCTCCATTCCCAAGTTCTCTGAGCAGCTCCCAAATCCTTCATCTCAAACTCAGCACTGAGAAGCCCCTTTAACTTCTGTATATCAGACTTTAACCTCGCAGCTATGAGCATATCATCCACATACAGAACAAGATAGATCATAGAACCATCCTCCACCTTGTTGTGATACACACAACAATCATATGGACTTCTGCTGTAGCCCAGCTCAAGCATGTAGCTGTCAAATCTCTTGTACCACTGCCTCGGAGATTGCTTAAGTCCATACAAGGACTTCTTCAGCTTACAAACATAGTCTTCTTTTCCAGGAACCTCGAATCCTTCTGGCTGAGTCATGTAAATTTCTTCCTCCAACTCTCCATGTAGGAAAGCTGTCTTCACGTCTAGCTGCTCGAGCTCCAAGTCATAATAGGCCACTATTGCTAGTAGCACTCTGATCGAAGTATGTCTGACCACTGGTGAGAAAATCTCATTGTAGTCAACTCCTTCCCTCTGTGAGAAGCCTCGTGCAACCACCCGAGCTTTAAATTTCATGCCCTCTTTAGAAGTGATTCCTTCCTTCTTCTTGTAGATCCACTTGTTTGTAACAATCTTCCTTCCCTATGGTCGTTTGACTAGCTCCCAAGTCTGATTCTTGTCATGGGATTCCATCTCATCTCCCATTGCGGCAAGCCACTGATCAGCTTCACCACCCGAAACTGCTTCTCTATAGGACTGTGGCTCTCCTGCATCCACTTCTTCAGCAACCTGAAATGAATACGCCACCATGTCCTCGAAGCCATACCTCTATGGAGGTACTCCTGCAGTCGCTCTCTTTGGTCTACCGGAAGCAATAGACTGTTGAGCTCGTGCACTGGACTCTAAATTTTCTGGCTCTGCAGAGATATCCTCATCATGTTGATCTTCTCCACCTTGGTGCTCAAACTCACTCTCATTGAGAGTTTGCAGCTCCACTTGCTTGTCAACATTCCTGCTACCTTCAACAACAGTAACCTTCAACATGGGGTTAAACATAGACTTCTCATCCAATATCACATTTCTACTAAGTATAACTCGATGCTCAGAAGGTGACCAGACTCGAAATCCCTTAACTCCATCTCCGTAACCCACAAATACACCCTTCTTTGCCCTTGGGTTCAGTTTACCCTCATCCACATGATAATAAACAGGACACCCAAAAACCTTCAGTGAAGAGTAATTAGCAGGCTTACCATACCACACCTCATAAGGAGTCTTCAACTCAATACCTGTGTGAGGTCCACGGTTGATCAGGAAGCACGCCATGTTCACTGCTTCTGCCCATAATCTTCTCTCTAGTCCAGCATTAGAGAGCATGCACCGTGCTCTCTCCAACAATGTCTGGTTCATCCTTTCTGCAACGCCATTATGCTGGGGTGTATCTCTCACAGTCCGATGACGGGCAATCCCTTCATCCTTGCAGAATTCGTTGAACTCAGAATTACAGAACTCCAGACCATTGTCCGTTCGCAGCTTCTTGATCTTCTTCCCGGTGTGATTCTCCACCAATGTCTTCCACTGCTTGAACTTCGTGAAAGCCTCACTTTTCTGCTTCATCATGAAAATCCAAGTAAATCTCGAATAATCATCAATAATAGACAGAAAATACCTGCTGCCTCCAATGGATTCAACTCGTGAAGGACCCCAACAGTCGGAGTGGAGCTAATCTAGTATCCCCTTCGTCCGGTGGATACCCTTCTTGGGAAACTTGCTGCGATGTAGCTTCCCAAACACACAATGCTCGCAGAATTCCAAATTCTGCATCTTGTGCCCGCAAAGAAGATCCCTCTTCGACAGAACTTGCATCCCCCGTTCACTCATATGCCCCAATCTCATGTGCCAGAGAGTGGTCATATCTTCCTGATGAACCTGAGACGATGCAACTGCTGCAGAACCAGACAACACAGACCCATGTAATGCATACAAGGTCCCACGCTTCACGCCCTTCAGCACCTTCCTTGAACCTTTGCAGACATACACAACTCCACCTTTTCCTTTGAAACTGAAACCCTTGCTGTCGAGTAGACTCAAGGAGATCAGGTTCTTTGTCATTCGTGGAACATGCCTGACATCATTCACGGTACAGAACGCACCATCATGTGTCCGAACCTTTATGGACCCGATTCCAACAACCTTGCAGAAAGCTCCATTTGCCATGACCACGTTACCACCATCTATCTGCTCGTAGGTTGTGAAGCAATCCCTGTTCGGAGACATATGGTATGAGGCTGCAGTATCCAGAAACCACACATCCCCATGATGTGCCTTCTCATCTACAGCCAAGGCGAGATCGTCTTCAGAACTGTTGTCCACTTCTGCCACGGCAACTGAACCTTGTTTCTTCTGTTGCCCTCTTCTCTTGGGACAGTTGTACTTCCAATGCCCCACTTCCTTACAGTTGTGGCAAGCATCACCTGGCTGTGGACCGGGACCCTTGGAATTCTTGTTCGAATTCCCTTTACCAGATTTCTTCTATCCCTTTCCACCTGTAATAGCCAAACCCGATGCCTCACCACCTGTACCAGATCCGGACGCCTTATGCCTGATCTCTCTCGTATGAAGAGCAGGCCTGACATCCTCCAACGACACGCTTTCTTTACCAGCAATAAAAGAATCAACGAAATTCTCATATGAACTCGGCAAAGAAACCAGTAGGATTAGGGCAGCATCCTCGTCATCAACTTGAACATCTATATTACGCAGATCCAGCAAAATAGAGTTAAGCTGTTCGAGATGTTCCCTCAAAGGAGTACCTTCTTGCATCCTCAAGCTGAACAACCGTTGCTTGAGGTGCAGCTTGTTGGTTAGAGACTTAGTCATGTACAGACTCTCTAGTTTCAACCACAAGCCCGCGGCAGTCTTCTCAGCAGCGACTTCAATGATGACGTCATCAGAAAACAATAGCATGATGGTCGAGTGGGCCTTCTCCTCCAGGGTATTCCACTCATCGTCATCGACCGCTGCCTTCTTCTGTTTCGCAGACAGCGGCCCCCACAGCCCTTGCTGTTTTAATAAAGCCTGCATCTTGATCTGCCATATAGCGAAGCTGTTCTTCCCCGTGAACTTTTCGATCTTCATGTTCACCGACGTCATTCTTCTGAATCGAAAACCCTAGACTGATTTCCAGCCGCGGCTCTGATACCACTTGTTAAAAACGCGCTGCTACGGATCGGGAAATCGCAAGAATCGACAAAGCAAGAATACGAAAGCGAGAATCAAAAACATGACACACGATTTACGTGGTTCACTAACACGATGTGTGTTAGCTACGTCCACGGGCGAGAGATAGCCAGTTTCACTATATCGAGGAGATTACAGATTATAGAGGAGTATGAGAAGTATTTATAGTACTTCTCCATGTGGGTCTAAACCAATCCAATCTGGCAAAGGAAACGGTTACAGACCAGGCCCAGAACCCGAACCCAAATAACATTGAGCCCGATTACCAGTCGTAGCGGCTGATAGTCCGATTCAAGTCACATCAACAGGTCAATTGGATAAAAAGTTAATAGTTTGACTATTATTTTGTTCCGTGAAAGGTTTGGCTTTTATTTTGTTTACGAACAAAAGTTTGGCTATCATATTGTATTTACTCTTATTAGTATTTCAATAGGTTTGACTAATAAAACAAGAATCCGAAAAAGTTTTGGCTAATACATAGTCATTACCAAAAATAAAACTTGCGGGTAATGTATCCCTTTCCTTAAAGGAAAAAGGGTTGAATCTGATTGCAGAAGGGAATAGCTTTCCCACTTGCCTCACTCTCCTTTTCAGCCCTAATATATATACACAAATCTCGGTCCTAGTCCAAACTTTTGCCTCGGTGCTTCTTTGCTCTCCTTATAGTTAGCTCTCTGTCCCCAAACCCTATCTCGAAGAAACTCCATCCTTCACTATACATGGATTCCTTGCCCATCCACCCTTCTAACTACCACTTCCCCGTCAACTAGCCCACGATCACTCTCCGTCACCATTCCCTTTTCTCTCATCCGTCCTCCTCCCCTACTCAACCGCCTCCAAAATTCACCTTCCGTAACAAGCTCCCTCCAGGTACAACCACTATCACTAGGTTGAAGGATGAATCACAAGGGTGCATGGCTCCATCCAAAGTAGTGGTGCGCATCTGCGTGGACCACCACGCCAGCAAAACAGCTCCGAATCATCGATCTCCGCGGCGAAAAATGGGGACCACTTCCACTGTCACTGTCGACAAATTAGGGCCCAAATGCCACCCTAATTACTCCTCTACCCCGCAAGAAATTTTTGGATACGAGGCGGGTAAGAAGCAGCAGGGGGAGAAGGAGAAGAAGAGGAAATTCTTGCTTCCGCGGACGGAAGAGCAGATCGCACAGGATATCTTGGCATCCAGGAAACTAGTGGCGGGGAGAAGCTCCTCCGTCGGGAACAATTACAGCAATAATAACTACAGGAGGTATGTGTCGCGGCAGGGGGATCATCAAAGGAGAAAGAGTAGTAGTTGTAAGCGGCATCAGAGTTTCTCATTCAGAGTGTCCAAGGAAAAGGCATGAGAATGTTTGTAATCTAGCAATAAAAATGCTAGGGTTTTAGGGAAGTAGAGAAGCCGAGATAGTGGGAATCGGCGGATAGCCTTTCTCAATTTTCATAAATCAGTATATATATATAGGGGGTTAATTACAGAAAGGTAAAGATACTATAGATTAACGGCTAATAGCAACTAACTATCAAAACTGACCTATAATATCACGCCAAGTGGCAAGCAAGAAGAAATAATTACAATGTTTAAATGCTTGGTGAAAACGGTGTCGTACGTCTCTTATTTATGCACTGAGTTTCGGAACCGAATCGGGTAAAAGGAAGCTCGACTCGGTTGACCCGTCTCTTCATCCTGAGACAGCTGTAGTGTCTTCAGGTTCTTCATCAACGATCATCCTTACGACAGCTATCCTTCATACTCCTCCTCAAGTTGGTGAGTACATGTCAAGTACTCCCAGCTTTCTTAACAGAATTTAAACCGATCGGCAGATAAACCCTTGGTGAATATATCTGCTAATTGGAATTCAATGCCGACATGGTGAAGATTCAGCAGTTCTTATTTTAATATCTCTCGAATGACATGGCAGTCGACTTCTATGTGTTTGGTCCTTTCATGGTACACTGGATTCTCAGATATATGAATCGCTGATTAATTATCAGAGTAAACCTTGACAGGATGGGGATGAGAGACTCCATAGAACTCAAGTAGAGCTTTAAGCCATTGTACATCACATGACAACTGAGCATGGATTCTGTATTCAGCTTCTTACTCCTCCAAGTTCTGAGAGAACTACCCAAAAAGGTACAATAGCCTGTAATAGACTTCCTGAAAATAGGGCAAGTTGCTTAATCTGAGTCACTGAAACCACTTAGATGCAAACTTGTGTTTGAAGAAAACCATAACCCTTGGCCTGGACACCCCTTCAGATACCCCAATATCCAGTGCAAAGCCTTCAAATGCACTGTAGTTGGATAGTCTTGGAACTAACACAATTCTAAACTGGAAAACAAATGTCTGGTCTTGTGGATGTTAAGTATTGGAGTTGTCCAAGTATATGCCTGAAATCTGTGCCATCATCCAGTAAAGTTCCGTCAGAAGCAGATAGAGAGGTTTTCATACTGATAGGGGTCTTTGTTGGTTTGCATTCAAGGAAATCAACATGATCAATCATTTCCAAACAAAAATTCCTTTGGCATAAAGAAATTCCCTTTGATGTTCTGGTAATCTCCAAACCCAGAAAGTAATTCGAATTACCTAAGTCCTTCACCTTGAATCCTGAATGCAGTTGCCTTTTCATTGTTTAATATCCTCCAAGCATGGACCAGCAAGGATGATATCATCCACATACACCACCAAAATGATAGTAGCACTCTTAAACACTGAATAATCGTCATATGACTGTGTAAAACCCATCTGAGAAAGAAATTCAGTGAGCTTGATATACCACTGCCTGCTAGCTTATTTCAACCCATAGAGGGACTTCTTCAATTTACATACCTTACCCTGCATGTGACTTAGCTTTCTTAATATAGGGGGCAATTTATATATATATATGGTGCCTTCTACCGTACCCCGGGTGAAATTCGGGGTACCGCATACATTGAGTATGAAAAGGCCATTTAGACCTCGAATTAGCAGGATTTTTGGGCATTATACTATACCCTAACACTTAATGAGTGAACCCTAGGTCCTAATTATCTAAATCATAAACTCTATACTCTAAGATGGTGCCTTCATTCTTTTGCCTATATTTGGACGAATCATAACCGTCGATTATTATTTCTAATTAAATTGATCTTGGGGTATAAGATTTAGAGAATTAAGACCTAGATTTTGATCTTTAAGGGTTAGAGTATAGTATCATGTCCGAAAGATCAGTCAATTCAAGTTCTGGATAACGTTTTCTTACTCAAGGTATGCGGTACCCGATTTCACCCGGGGTACGGTAGAACTCCCCATATATATATATATATTCCTCCTCTAAGTCTCCACGCAGGAAGGTATTACTAACATCTATTTGATGTAAGTGTCAGGACTGGATAGAAGCAACTGGAAGCAGAAGCTTGATAGAAGCCATCTTAGAAACTGGTGAGAATGTATCAATATAATCATGGCCAAAAATCTTAGTATAACCTTTGGCAACTAACCTAGATTTGAACTTATCAACATGGCCATCTGGCAGAAATTTGGTTTTATAAACCCACTTGCTACCAATTTGTTTAATACCTGGAGGCCAATCCACTATGTCCTAGGTCGGACTGGCTTCAACTGCTTGAACTTCCTCAGTCATTGCCTTTCACCAACAAGCATGGGGAGCAGCTTGGTGATAAGTTTGAGGAGCAGGAGTAAGAGAGAGGGAAAGAGCAAAAGACTTGTGTTCTGGTGACATATTGGAATAGGTGATGATGCTGGAAAGAGGATAGAGAAGCTAGGAATCAAATGTGGTGCTAAAGGAAGTAAGGAAAGAAGTGTGTAAGTCAACAAGGTGAGATGGCTTTTTAAGAGTCCGAGTTTGTTTCCTCGAGGCAATGGGAAGAGACCCTGAAGAAGGAGAACCAGGAGAAGAACCTCCTGGAATGTGAGGAGAGGAGGTGAAAGAGGAGAAGAAGGTGAAGAATCTAATCCAGAAGGAGAATGTGGGGTATAAACTGGATCAGTGGTTTCATGAACATTGTGGTTAGGAGGCAATAAAGGTGAAGGTTCTTCAGTGTAAAAGAGACAGGACTGATTTTGTGAATTAGCAGGAACAAGTGAAGGAGACAAAGATAGTGAGGAATTGGTCTAAGTGAGAAAAGGAAATGCAGTTTCATTAAACTACACATCCCTGCTAGTGAAAATTTGTTGCCTATCAATATCATAGAATTTAAACCCTTTGATCCCAAAACTGTATCCCAGAAAAACTGCTTTTGCTGCTCTAGGTGAGAATTTAGGCTTATATGGGTCGACCACAGTGGCAAAGGCTAGGCAACCAAAAACTCTCAAACTGTTATAATCAGGGGAGATTCCATACAAGCATTCAAATGAAGACTTGTCTTCTAGAATAGGTGTTAGGATTTGGTTTATCAAATATGTAGCATGAAGAACCAAGTGACTCCGGAAACTTCAGTGATCTAGCAACACTCAGTAAATGTTGGTGTTTTCTTTCAACCCTTACATTTTGTTATGTTGCTAACCCTTATTGAAACTTCAGTGATCTAGCAACACTCAGTAAATGTTGGTGTTTTCTTTCAACCCTTACATTTTGTTGAGTTGTGTAAACACAACGCGTCTCATGTACTACCCCTTCCTTCTAGTAAAACTCAGTCATATTGAACTCCTAACCTTGGTATGTTCTAATGACTTTAACTTGCTTCTCAAATTGGGTTTTAACCATTGCATAAAATGATTGCAAAGAAGAATGCGCTTGTGACTTGGAACTCAATAGATAAAGCCAAATACAACGACTGTGGTCATCCATAATATATAGGAAATATTGAAATCCATCATGAGAAAAAAAAACATCCACATGAGCCCATAGCTCAACATGAATCATGTCAAAAACAGAACTAGACCTAGATGAACTTCTAGGAAATGGTAAACGTTTCTGTTTTGCCAAGTGACAAATCTCACAATCAAAACTCTCAGGTGTAGTAATGTCATTACAAATCTTATTTACTGCTTGCAATCTAGAAAAAGACAAATGGCCTAGTCTTTGATGTAACACCTTAGGCAAATCTCACATCGACAAAGCACGAGAGAGATCCATGGTTTATAAGTAAGAAACCGACCTTAACTGACAAGACGCGTTTTGGGGTGAAATGGAGGAGTTCCTATGAGAACTCCAAAGTTAAACGTGCTCAGTGTGGAGTACAACAAGGATTGGTGACCTTATGGGAATTCACCTTGAATTGCACCCCAAGTCGAAAATCGTGAGGGTCGAGGCCCAAAGCGGACAATATCTTTGTCGGGAAAAGGTTCGGGATGTTACAAGTGGTATCAGAGCCTCTTTGCGTCCCTCTTGAATGATGGTGGGGAAAACCTCAACGAGTGCGTTGAGTCCCAAGGGGTGGTGTATGTAATGTAATACCTTAGGAAAATCCCACATCGACAAAGCATGGGAGAGATCCATGGTACATAAGTAAGAAACCAACCTTAACTGACAAGACGCATTTTGGGGTGAAATGGAGGAGTTCCTGTGAGAACTTCGAAGTTAAACATGCTCAGTGTGGAGTACAACAAGGATGAGTGACCTTATGTGAAGTCACCTTGAATTGCACCCCAAGTCGAAAACCGTGAGGGTCGAGGCCCAAAGCGGACAATATCTTCGCCGGGAAAAGGTTTGGAATGTTACATTTGATGCCATAGGCTGGAACTAGAATAGGTACTGGTGTTTAGTCCAAGAATTTGGGGTCTGCAAGTCTCTCCAGGGTGGTTCTCTCCAAGAAGATACATGCCTCTACTTCCTGGGATTAAACCAATCCTCTGTTGAGATATGAGATCCTATATGTGACAAAAGGTGGATTGAAACAAGAGTTAGACATGACTGTTTTTGGTAAGTTGGCTAATATAAATTAAGTTGTAAGAGAAGGATGGTACTAGAAGCATATTGGTTAATAGAATACCACAAGGAAGCTTCATTATTCCTACATGAGTGGTTGGAGCATGATGACTATTAGGTAAGGTCACTGACATCTTATCTATTTGCCTACATCTTAGAAACAACTTAATAGAACAGATGATATGATAACTAACTCCTGTGTCTAGCACCCAAAACACCTTATCAACACAAGATTTTAGGGTAGAAAGTGAAATTGTACCTATGACTCACTTCTACTGTCACCCTAGGAATTGGCCAAGTGAAACCACTTCCTAAAGCGTAGTATAGCGGGTTAGGTTTATATGTCAACCCGGGTCCTAGATCTGATGACTACTCAGTGAGTTCTTGTTATCTAGCACTGAAACTGGAATGCAAGTCTAACTACCAAACAGACAAAGCAAGTAAACTGTTGTATTCAGGTTAAGGAGGTCACCCGG